CCAAGTTCCATGGCTAGTGATGGGCCCCAGTACACGCAACTAACCAACGCTGGGAGTGGCAGGAGAGGTGATTGAGCAATACCGTGCTGTGCACCAGAGTATGCCCCCAATGTCAATGTATTACCATGTGAAAGGGATCCATGCCTTCTGGAGAGAAACTGAAAATAGCACAGAGGGATAGAGTGCCACCACCGCAACAAAGTACTGTAGATGGCAACGGTGGTAAACTAGGCTAAGGCTAAAGGAAAAAAGAAAATGTGGTGTGGATAAAGTAATATATCCATAGGTAACTCAAAGTACTAGAGTGCTAGAGGAAAAAGGAGAATTGTGAATTGCTTAGATATGCTGCCCCCTAGTAAAGGTTGTACCAAACGTGAGAGCATAAATTAATAGAAAAAAATCTGCAAGAGTACACCTTTTGCAAAGAAAGACCACATCTCCCGTGGAGTACTACACAACGGCAAATTCTTGTGCACCACAATGCCAATGTCTTGATAGCCACAATTGCACCAAACAGATTACCAACCAGCTGAAGTCAATCTTCAAAAGAGCTGAGTAGGTTGCCAATATACCAAAACCTAGGTAATTAGTAGTAATATGTTTATGGTGACTTGGACAATGCAGTGGTAGATAATGTGGAACATGGAAATGCAGTGGTGTATGCGGTGGTGACAACAATTGTAGTGATAAAGAAGACAAAAGTTATGGCATTTATAGATTGGAGTTTTGCATCCTAGAGCCATCTAGGGTTATTCCTAGTAGGTCGCTGGATGTGAGAGATCCTGGAGGAGAGGTGAGATATCTTCGGCGGAGAAATAGTTGGTGGGTTATAGTTTGGTTTGATGAATCCACAATACTCCCATTTGAGTAGGCACACAATAAACCAAACTGCAGAGCGTGAAAGAATTGTTGAAGCTCAAAAGAGGTGCTGCTAACAATCATGTATTGAAATGCTAATTCATTCCCATAGTCGGTTGTCAACTGTGCAGATGGGACAACATCTATGAATGATCATATGGTTTGGTTGTGATAAATTATCCAAATATTGAGAGTGAGAAAATGTGGATGATCTTTTGTTAAGTGACAAACCAATGACATTTGTAGGTAGTAGTCAACAACATGCAGTTGTGGTGTACAATGTCAGGGAAGCAATGCAGAGATGCACTTTTGAGATCAGAGCCTGATTACGCAAAAGTATTAAATGGAAAGCCGAAGGTGGTGGCAACTGCCAATAGCTAGTACCAGGAGGGATTGGCATACTTTTGGGCTTTTAAAGGTGGTTGAGATTGCTCCCCAATTGCTTTTGGTGCTATTTCACTGGCTGCAGGCTGCAGGTTGCGGTTTGGTTGGTAGACAGTTGTATCACATTCGACAAGCTTTGGAAGAGGGTGAATGACATGCAATCCGCCCTTTTTAAAAAATGGGATGATGCGTTGTAAAGAGATGATGTTTTGTTCAATGTAACAAAGAGTGCTATTGTAATTTTCACCGAGAGCTGCAACATGGCTGATGTTTCTCCACTGCTCAAGTCCAAAATTCTGATTGGATTGCAGTCGATACCATTTTGACCAATCCCTATGGCCCCTATGACACCATGTGGTATCTAGGCGCTGAACAACTACCATGAGCACTAGGGAAAAACTGTCCAACTGCTAATCAAGATTGTTGTGAAGATGGAAAAGATAAATTGGCTGGGGAAAAAAGGCAGAAGCCATCGATTCTTGAGCCTTAAATAGGTGCCTCAAGTGTTAAATGCTGTCCATAAAAGTAGTTGGGCATGGGCAATATGGCATGGAGAATTTGCAGTACCATACTAATCGGATTGAATAGAGCTGACGTGGATAGGGGCTGTGAGGGCCACGGAGTGTGTCAAAATAAGTGGTGTGTGCATGGGATCTAGATCCCATGCCAAATTTGATGAGATTGTGAGTGATACAGGGGTCCAGCTACCCCCACATATAAGACAAGATAAAGTGGGAGACAATCAACTACTGAGTGGTCGTTCATTAAATACAAGATACAATTATACAATAATGAAGCAAATTGTTCCACTGTACAATAACCACATATTCATTCTTTGACCACCCAGAAGTCCCACTTGATAATCAAATACATTGAATACCATCTAAGCTAATCACACTATATCATTTCTCCCCCCCACAAAGTGTAGATGTCTTCGGCCATGGAGATACATCATGTGAGAAGACCGGCCGAATGGAAGATACGGGTACTTAACAAAATCCCACAAAGACCAAGTCTAATAGATCCCATAATATAACTCAATCTATTGTGGAATCATGTTATTCAGTTCTCCACCCTACCCATCACTTCTATCACTCCATTAATCTGGGCAACTACACAATGTCTTGTTGAATGACCTAAAAAGATAATCTGCTCTGAGGTTCTGGCAGTCACTGAAGGTGTTCTTAATATTTTGGTGGCTTTATATAGTTATATTCCCTCTTAAGCCACCACCACATATGTCACCAATTCTGAATATCACAACCTTATAATGCTACCGACCATTGACTCTATTGTAGGTGGGTTTGAAGATACAATGTGACCCACGCTTCTCACTGCATGCAACTTCATCAGGCTCAAGCAAGAAAAGTATGATAGACTTAACACCATGTTGTGCAAGCCGCTATTGCTGGGACATTTCCAGCTCATCAGAAAAGTCCTTGACATCCTAGCAGCTGGGGAGGCCACGACCCTTGCTCCACTCAACAATGGTGGCCATTCGCCCATCCACCCCATCTTCCATGACCAAAATCCGTATGCTGCAAGGGGTGGTCCACTTGCCCTAGCCATGATTCATCATAGATCTCACAGGGCATGCACAAATTCGTAATTATCTCATCATAAAGTAATTACTCTCAAGGCCAGGGTGGACAGCCACCTCCACTATTTCTAAAATAAATTAATGAATATTGTTTCTCAATTGCACAGGACCCTTTAGCTCGAAATATCCCAAAACATCATTGGAAATTGAGGTTGTTTCTTAGGGTGCAATAAACTCGTTCTTTTTGGAAACCCAGAATCTTTGAAACCTATCAAAAAAACACAAATTTAGTCTTATTCAATTGCCAATTGCATTTGCAACTGATTTATATTATCAAATGATCTGAAGATCTGATTCAAATCCTCATAATAACCCCATTTAACCCATAATGATATCCTTGGCCTAACTACAATCAAGCCCTCACGTGCCAGGCCTCGCACAGTATCTTAGCATATAGGATGATGTGATAGTACCCAATCCCTGCCTGATATGCGCACATATAGCAAATCCCCCTGGGCGCCGGGGGGGCGTTTTGAGTTGAGTCAGTGTTCAGTGGTACATGTGCACCCCGCCATCTCACTCCCCGCACTTGCACCCCTTTGCACCCCCTTTGGCCTGCCGTCGGGTTGGTGTGTTCCTCGAGGTGGGTTCCGTGAGAAAACGCTTATAGTAGGGTTGGGCACAAGCCCCCCGTCCGTGGATTTGCCAACTCACTTTTCTCGGAGAGGCCCTCCCTGTTCCAAAAACGTGGCATGTTTAACGCGCTCAGCATTCCCTATTTGTGGCCCCTGCATCCACCTTTGGGAGGTGCTCTCCTTCGAGCACCCCCTCCATAATGTGCTGCCCGGGCAGATTGGGAACTCTGCCCCCTGCCTCCTGATCCCCCTGGCCATCTCCAAATGATCCCCTTGGGATTGTCTTAGCTACCGTGTGGCTGCGACCCCCTCCGCAGAGCCCCATGGCTTGGCATGGGTTGAACTACCCGATCAACAGGCATTGCTCCAGTTTCTCGATGCAGGGCCCTTCAGCATGTGCCCCTAGTCCGTTCGGGTCAATTGCTAGACATTCATGCGACGTTTTGGCCAGGCAGTGGGCAGGCGGGAGGCTGGCGTCGGGTGCGGGCCTCGAGCCATTGTGCTTCTTGAGTGCTTCCCGTGCAGTGGGTGAATAGCTAGGCAGGATTACGTGGCATCTGTCCGTTTGTTCGGCGTACATCTGGGCCCTGACGGCCCCTGTTGGCTCCCTATGGCCTCTTGGCGATTGCTTGAGGTGTATACCCTGGTCTGTTTGCAACCTTTCAACCGAGGCCATTCAGGCCTGGAATCCTGGGCGTCACGGGGCACCAGCTTGGTAGTATTCGCATGGCGTATTTCATGTGGCATGGCAGTCATCCATTTGTTTAGTTTGGCTTCATTTGTTGGTGCACGAACACTATGTTGTCAAATTATTACACCCATAGGTTGCAATTCTCGTTCGGTCAATGAACTATCCTTTTTTGTGTGCCTCATGTAGGCAACATTCAACAATGGAGTCTAGTCACACTGGCTGTGCACGCAACAGCCCGTGCATTCTTGTGCCACCCAGTGCCGCATCTTGAGCAATTGGCACGTTCTGGCACTGACAACACAGCGGCAGCCTACCTGCCAGAGTTGGTGGGCAGTGCGCATGTCAGTAACATGCACACTGAAGGCCGATTTACGGGTAGCCATAATCGGCTAAGACCTCTCAACGCGAGATTGCTCGATCAATCAGAGTCCGCATAGCGTAAACAACATGGGTCTTCACCTCTCCTGTTTGGGTCAAAATGGTGTCGACACACCATGGTATATAAAGGTCCTTCCTTCAGGTTGACCAACGCCTTCGGGTAGCATTCCACATCATCGGCACCCGGAAACGAGCCAGCGTGGGCTTTCTGGCAAACGACTGTGTGCCCATCTTTACACAGTCAGTCGAACCGTTGCCGACCCTTCTGCACGCATTATCACTCAGCTCAAACATGCATGATCACTTATCGCGGCGTCATCAGCCCAGGCCCAAGCTGAATGACAGACTGGCATGTCTTTGCAATCAAAGCAGCCCCCTGCACCAGTTCCAGGGCCACCCGGTTCTGCACTACACGCGTTCGACCTGGCCATTGAGGCATTGAAGAGATCTCCATGTCCCTTAACAGACCTGTACCCACGAAGGCCCTCACCGCTCCCCATTATCATGGCCGTTTTCAATCCGTTTTCAGAGGAATCCGGAATTGAAGGCACAAGGTGAAATAGATAGATATCAGCTGAGACAAGGCCACACCCAGCCCCCCAAATCCCATGTACTCTAGACCAGTGTGCTCTTTGATGCAATGCTCTGGCATGTTCTCAAGTGCGTTGACATGGGCAGTCCTTTGGTTCTGCCGAGAGCGCTGGAGGATTTTGATGTACTCCGTGTTCCAATGAGCCCGTCGGTCCTTCATTTGCTGCAACACCACAACCTGGAATGTCAAAAGCAACACGAGGAAGCACAGAGCAGCGCCTCGGATACTTGCATTCTTGTGCGCCATGTGCCCAAGCGATTGGCTCGATTACCAAAAAGGGGCCTGCATGTGTCCGACAAAAGCAGCTGTTGGTGCGCCATACAACCCAAACTCCCTGGTGGGCTGGAGCGCAACGACGAGGAGCATAAGCACATGTCAACCGCAGGGTTTTCTATAGACGTTGTTGAAGAACATCTACCGCGACGCAAGCGGCAGTCATACCGCTGACAGCTGCTCGTTCTTCTTTGAAAGCTCGTCCAGATTGTTGATTGCAGACTGCAGGCGGGTGATGGAGGACTGGGTGTCAGGAAGGTCATCGTGGGCCTGAACCCACACACATGAAACAAGTCGAACCTTGATCTGCCACGGGGTAAATTCCCCCAAAGAATCGCACAACAAATGCCAGATTCGCCATGATAATTAGCAACAAAAGACAGGCCGGCGTTTCGGCATGGAGCCACCGGTGCCACCCATGAATTGGTTCCAGCCACTGCCTGCTTGCACGTGTCTTAGCCAGCTGAGTCAAATCCTCAACCACCGTACCCCTGCCACTCGACACCATATTCCGGTTTCTCAAAGGAATGAACAACAGAAGCTCTGCTGGAAGCCATGCCATTATTGGTACAGGGTACATGTTGACAGATATATATCTGAGGCCCATCGCAAAAGAACCCTTCAGTAACCAACCTCTGCCAGTTCGGTAGTGACTTTCTCTATGCGTGTGCCTGGCTCCGTAGGTGTCAAGAAAGCAGCTGTCACGGCCTGCCATCATCCACAAAAAGTAACGAACAGCACACGCACAACACAACTGTTGGCCCAGATATGCGCTGTCAATACAACCTGGTAGGTGACAGGATTCGGGCAACAAAACAACCTACAACTGTGAAGGAAATACATGTAGTCTAAACAATGACAGGGATAGGCCTGACTCTATACATCTGTGTACACTCATGCCCATGGCACCCACATGCAAGAGTTCTTCATACTCTGCTGCATCAATCTTTTTCCCCTCTGCCGAGTAGTGCTCATCAACCCGCTTCAGGACCTGTGTGAGGCACCAACAACAGGTGCAAGTCAGGTCCACATGGGCCCCTGCACACATCCACTATTTTCCATACCAAGCAGGCAGATGTGCTGTCGTGGATACCCAAGATACGTGTTTGCAGTTGAGGAATGCCAATGTGATGAAGAATCTCAACGACTGCGTTGGGCATAATGGTTGCACTGATGGTTGTGGTACATAATCTGCATTACTCACAGCTGAGTGGCTTTGTGTGTGCAGAGCTTGTGCAGTGAACAAAGGCATATCGAATTCCTGATCTGGGCAGCAGACGTGACTTGATTGAGCTGTTCCACATGATACGCTTGCAGAACATTCAGGCCCTTCAGAAACAACATAAACTCGGCATTTTGTTGTTGTGCAGAAACATCATTCACATGGGCAGTTGCCACAGCATGACAAGGAACAGCCTCCCTCTCCAAATTTTCTCCATTAATTATGGCACCAGCCTGCTGATATCTTTTCCACAAACCTTCCATGGGCATCAAGCCTTTGTGTACTGCCTGAAGTGTGCTGACCTCACTCTAAATGGACCAAATGAGCGGGACACAAGTCCTTCAGGCCAGTGGCAACACTGATGCGTAAATCTGACAGATGCAGCCCCTTTTCAAAATGTGTCATGGGCACCACTCAGCATCATTCATTCAGGTACAACAACGGCACACAGTACCCACAATAATAATCAATTGTATAGAGGTGATGGCAGTTAATGGATGTACAGAACAGGGCCAAGTTGGTGGTCAAGTGGATGGTAAAGACCATTTACTTCTTTTCGTCAAAAGCTTGGATGCAACAGGTGGGCATGGGCTATTAGCTAGAGGCAAACCCTACTCAGGGGGACAATATTGTGCACAAACTCGGGCGTACCTGCCAATGGCCACCAGACATGGAGGCTGATATCCATGAGCAGCAAATGTACTCACTGTCAACCTGGGTGGAAGCTCTCATGAGGGTGGCGGCAAGCACTCACATCCCCATGAGCCCCTCAGCAACTGGCATCCAGGCATCTGACAGATATGTGGCTTTCAGGCGAGCTACCTCACTGATGCACAAAAAAATTTCTGGAAAGAACAGCGCAATGTCTCAGAATGCGTTTAGTTTATCCATACCTTCTCTGCTGCTAGAAGCTTCTCATCCAGGGCCTTTTTGTGTTCAGGCGCCCACTGCTCCACTTTTTCCTGTGTGATGTTCGGGTTGTTCCTGATTTCTGCCCGGATGTCAGCTGCATGCCTGTGCAGCACCCCCAGCTTGCTCTGAGACACAGCACAATCACATCATCAAAGTCATCCCAGTCACACTATTCAATGCTTGGGGAAACTGTATTGTGAGCAACCCCACCTTATAAGAGGGCCAAAATACCCAACAGGATGCCAGGTGGCATGTGAGACAATCACAGCAGTAATCATGGTGCTGGTGCATTGATCATGGCTCCGTATTCACTGATATCATGTCCAACAAAGCCTTGCAGCATAAATCCACAGCTGCCATTGCACAAGCTGTTCAGTTCTGTTGAACCTCAATGACCGTTTGCACAAGCTGCTGGAAAAGAGGACTGGGAAGGCTCAAGGCAGGAAAATATGCACATCACGTGATCTTGCACATGAAGTCTCATTTTTGCTGTTGTTCATCCAGGCTCGATGTCCTTACATCCAGGCAGCAGCATCAACCACCCATCGCAACCCATCGCATCTGTGATATCAGTACGGAAAGGCTGCTCTGGTGCAGGGGTGTGATACAAAGCCTCTGAACGATGTGAAGAAACAAATCCATCCAACTAAAGGCGCCAAGGAGACCAGTGAACAATATCTGTGCAAGCAACAGATCCTTACAGGAAAGTTTGCAGATTTGGTGCAATGGTGACGATTCCAGACACAGAACCTTGGGTGATTTCAACATACAATCCAAGCACAATAGCCAAGGGGTCTGCCAATGAATGCTGAATATGTGTGCTTGTGTGTGATGCTAAGGTGCTTGGAACCTTCACCAACAACTGTAATGCACCCGCTAAACTGCAACACACCTCAGGTCTGCACAAAGGTCCCACGAATACCAGTTGCACGATCGTGAGAATCGCAACAATGTGAATCTTGTGGGACTGCCTGCAGAACAACCAGGAGTACACCAACAGCATTCTACTTACATGGAAAAAGTCCCTGTCGTCTGCAATGTCTGCAAGGGGGTTACCTTCACCCAACAAGGCAGTGGAACTCTTGACACCGTCGTGCACCATTGCCAGCATGTCCTCCATCTGGAAATTGACACAACAAATGCATCAGCTTCACCCGAATTTCGGAAGAAGCATGTGTAAAGCACAGCAAACCACCAAATTGTTACAATTCCTGAAGAGATGAAAAGCTGGAACAAAGCCTGTTGCGATGGAAGCTAGTGGCCTTGGCCAAGGCACAGACCATCCTTGATACAGGAAACGAAATCAAAAAGGGGAGCCTGGCATTGCTTTTGGAGACCACAACACCAAAACAGATCATCACCAACACGGCTGAAAGAAGTCACCAGCATGGTTGCAGAGAATAGGACACCAAAACTTGCAGATGTCCAAACATCTGCTTTACAAACTTAGGATTCGGTGGAAAGTTGTGGAACGAATACATTTCTTCTTCCCGTTCTTACCCTGGAATGCTGCCTGTATTCTGCAGGGTAATTACTTTCAGCTTGCTGGTGCCTGTAGCGGGAATACTGTATCCCTGAACTGAGTGCTCAGTACACCAAACCTGGCCTTTCCGGTTGCCCTCCATTCATTGAGTATATATCAATGCAGTTCCTCAGGGTGTATCAGTACTGTGTACACAGCTGCCTAGCAGGAGCAAGTTTTGAAACACAAACCTCCGGCCTGTCAGCAAGAACCTGGATATAGCATCAGTTTAAAACACAACACTACTCAATTAGGATTTTCAAATCTGCATTTCTTTGGAAACCAACGTTTCCATGCAAGAATACCAAAACGATTCGCTGTTGGGTCAAACCATCAAAGGCTGAGGCTTTCATGTGGTGGTGCCCATGCACAGTTATGAGTTTTTGTGTGTTCCATGTTCCTGGCTACTGTATGAGTATTTCTTGGGTGCGCACTGCAGAGATCAGTTAACATGGGACAAATGTCTGTTCGCGCAACAGGTAGCAACAACAGCATTTCATTGTGGTTGATACTCAAAAGTAGGCACTGCTTCTCTGCACCTGGTTGATCCTGTTGTAAATGGTGTCGAACATTTCGTTTTGTGCTGTTTTCCTGGTAACCTCCTCAACAGCATTGCTCTTCAGGTACAGCTCTGCCAACGCACAGTCCACTTCCACTTCCCTCCACACCTAAGAATGCACAAGTGCATCCACAGTTGAGCTTCTCACTCTTAAGCTCTGAGTGGTCTTGCTGCGATCAAGATATGGCCCAAGCAGTGTGGTAGCTCCTCCCACATTCTTGGCCACTGATTCCACCAGATGGACGTGATTTCAGTGGAAGAGAAAAACAAAGTTATGTGTTCATTTGCAAGTTTCGTAGACACAAATCTCAACATGGCAAAACCATCCACCAGACTGTGCTGAATTGGCACAATCGAATGTGGTTGCCTCCAGTGTACTTTCCATGTGTTAAGGATTGGGGTCCCAATGCCACTGAACACAATGATGAATACCCACCAGGAATCATGTGATTTGTGGCCCACAGTATACATACATGTATGTACACAGAGGCGTGCGTACATGATTGCTGTGTCGTCCTGCTGCTGCTGATTATGCATCATGCATGCCTTCAGCAATAAGAAGCATAGCTAGGTGGGCACAACCGAACAGTGGAAGAGCCTGTGGACACCAGAATCTATTTGCCTCTGTGTGCTGAGGAGAATGGTATGTTGTACTGGACAGTACCACAAGTGTGCAGCCACAGCACTTGGCTTTGGTGTCATAACAAGGGTTGTGCACCTGTCCGGCAAATTGGAATGAGAGCACTATGGTGAGGATGGCTCCAACGATGTGGAAATTCAGAAAGTCTTTGTTCTGTTTGAATGATCCAACCAAGCCAATGGCCCCAATGATGAACAGAAGCCCTCCAATGATCTGCAACAGCAGGACAAAACTGTAAGCAGCTGGATCTGACAATCCGATAGGATAACACAACAGCTCAGTGCTCACCTTCCAACAAGGCACCAGACAAGCGGTGAAGTGGGCAGTCAGAGCCATAAAGGCCATAAAGAAATGACACCGCCCAGGGTGCCAAGGAAGGCAAAAGACATGTGCTTCCAACCTCTGCAATGTGGCTGTGGAGACAAAAGCTCTGTGCATATGGTGGCTGTGATGTTGAATAGGAGGGATGCAATGTGGCTATGGAGACAAAGCTCTGGGCATATGGTGGCTGTGATGTTGAACTGGAGGGAAGCAGAAAATTACAGCAATGAGGACATCGATGCGGCCACGAACAATGTAACGCCATATGCTGAGATGTCAAAACATCCACAGTGCCACAACAATTCACATTTGGCAGTCCTGAGAGCAGAAAGACACAGATTTGGGTGCTGACAGATGGAAGCATTGTTGTCCAGCGGTGACTGGTGAGCAATGACCTTGACAGTAAACAGTACAACACCAAAGCCTGGCTTGAGGCTGTAGCACAGTCAGAGGAATGCTGACGTCTTCTTTTTGGCAATACTGCATAAAAAATTGGCATTTGGTGTATGGTATGCTGTTTATGAAGACAATGCCAGTGGAATCGCAGGAAATCCAAAGAAAATCACAGGTAGGAACGGGACAAAGTTGCACTTTGACCATTAAATGTTGCTGGCCATCATGGAAAGTAGGGCAACGGACAATGACAGCCTGGCAGGGAAACATGGTGTGCCTTTGAGCGATGCGAAGACACCATATGACCAAGACAGGCATTGACACACCTTCTCCAAGAAACGATACAGCGGTTCTGGACTGGATAGTTACTTGGCAGCAAAGCAACACAATGTCACTATGCCTGACTGTGTCCACCAAGGCGTTTCACGCAAGGGTCAACTGACTGGGGGCACCTTTTTCATGTTTTAGAATTGCTGAACCATGATTACTCACCACTCCAGTTGTCATCATGTAGTCAAACAGGTATGTCGTGGACAAGAAGGCCAGAAACACACCCCCGACCATTTGAAACGCGCATGTGAACTTGCAGATGTTCGACCACAGCTCGGGCTTCGAGCCTAACAGCAAACCAGCAGTAGATCTCGACATGTGCTTGCAACTCAAATAGACGAAAATGATGTCATACCCCATTGCCTGGCATACGCCAGGCAATTCCATTTTTGCTTCAAAACCATCCAATTTCAACGATTTCAGTGGTAAAAAGCTTTCAAGAGAGACATGACATGGTAACGTGCATAGCGGGCCACGGGTTGGCGCTGCCCTCACCGCCGGATGCGGCGGAAGAAGTCAAGCGATACTGGAAATACCAAAGTCCAGGGGGGCACAATCTGGGCGCTTTTTCTCCTCCGGTACAGAAGAGAACACGTAAACGGGCTCAAGGCTCTCGGCCAGCGGTCGCCGCAACTTAAGGCGTCGCGCACGGTAACAGAGTTCATCACTGCTTCCCTCTCGCTAATTGGAAAGCTTCTCCGACTCTCCCATACATTCACACAAGATGTGGCGGCCACGTGTCCAGCCGAAAAGAGGACCACGTCCAGTCTTTTCTTGCACCCTGCAAGCAAACTCTTGCGACAGCACGGCGGCGCCAATCGTCATACAGGGCCGCCGCCCTCCGATGCTCACCCCGCCGAACGCCAGCACCGTTCCAAGGGCCGCTGGTGTCGCCGAGCATCATTGGAACTGCTGTCCGCCCAGACGAGGTTGCTTGCCCCGCAACCAGGCCTCCGCCTCGATCCTATCTGGGGGAGATCTCTCGCCACGCTACTGAAATTGGAGGCAGATCGCAAGGCGCTGTAGCTGCGGGGTGGCCTGAGAGGCGGCCGGCCCGGAAAAGGTTTCCGTCGAAGGGCGTTCCTGCCGCGCAAGGCCGCGAGAGGGGGTGCGCTGGGGTGCTGCTATTCAACGCAGAGGCGATTATGAGGATAGAGAATCGGTGTGTCCAAGGTACGGTATAGTTTCCACCGGCCCCATCAACGCACTCTTTTCGGACAAAACAAGGGCTCATCCTGTTCTTTCTGG